AACCCCTTCTGATAATGATCGTATGCTCACTAGTGACTGACCTCAAGGGATGTTTCCTTGAGTTCTAGTGAGAAGCAGTAACCAGTGGAGTTCAACCAGGTCTGTTGGGAGACAGTAACTCACTGAAGACATTGGTGAATGGTTGCTCGATTTCGTGGATTAGTTGAAGTTAGACATTAACACCGTTGGATACCGGCCAGCTCAGTGGTCTAGTGGTTAAGCGCTCGCGCACGAGACTGATAGGTGCTCGGTTCGAACCTCGCGAGTCAGGATCGCGGACGTACACTGTTGGGGAGTCCAGCAATAGGACGAAACGGCTGTCCAGTGCTTCCAGGTTTTCCACGGTGGTCTAGCTTCAATGAACTCATGATTTTAACTTTCTAAAAGAAATATTTGTTGCTTCTTAGAAAAAATTTTCTATAACTCTTTCTTATATTGACTACATCATTATTTCTTTTTATTTCATCTGTCTTGCAGATTAGTAATCTTATTTTATTAAGTGAGATTAACTCATTTTATTCCTAACAGCGTGTGATCACTTGTATCTGTCCCTTTGTTCCCTTGTTACAATCAGCGTTGTAGAATGTTCTTTTACATGTACATATTTACAATGTCTAGTCTACTACATTTATTTACACACTCGTTATACTATACTGATGTGTATTCAAAATAACTCCCGACTAAACTTTAAAGTAATTTAAACCCATTTTGTAATTGTTTTTAAATTTCACAGGTTGTAAGCAGCTGACGGAAACCAAACGAAATAGAATGGATTCATGCTACTCTGCTAAAATCTTTTTTATGGTCTCTTCAACACTTCGAACAGTCTGATCATACATATACTTGTTAAATAAAAGGTGCGCTAGACACATTATGATAATAAGGGAAACGAAATGAGTATCACAAGTTTAGATAATAAAGCAATATCACCAGAGTAGTTTCCAGGTGAGAACAAAGTGCTTTTAAATACACAAAGAGGGTGGCTGATAAATGTGATAATCATGAATGTTTGTTAAAGAGACTCAATATACTTTAAAAGAATATTTCCTTGGCATGTAAAGAGGAGATAAAAAAAACAGTCCATCCGAACTTTCACCGCATTCTATGTTGAGCATATCTCATTTGAAACGTAATAAAAAGTGTGTTACTAAGCGAGCTATCTTTAACTTTACATGGAATTGTGGAGGGCGCGATCGGAGATCGTTTGGTTGTTCTTCCGCTTGACAGTAACTAAAAATGTGCACAGGCAGACAGAAATTTTTATACTAAACCAGTCTGCATTCTAGTTTTCAAAATAGTCTACCAGTGATCGAAATATCAAACGCCGAATCTTAACTACTGTACATAAAACCAATTATTGTTGAAGCACAAGTAGTGAAATCCATCCCGGCTAGCCCCTCGACTCCCAAAACAATGAAATACCAATTTTGTGGAGACAATACACAATTTAGAAACACATATCAATCTTCAGTCTGTTTCTGTAGACTGAAGACTGAATGAAAGCACCTGTACAAAAATAAACAAAAGACTATCGCAACAATTGGATTACAAATTCAAATTCATTGTCTGCAAGGAAAACTGACACCTACCACATATCAGTTATTGAAGCGTTATCTACGCTCACTTATGACAGAGATCATTGCATCAGTCAATACGTGTACAGTAGTTGATGAAATAGGCACTTTCAATATATGTGGCAATCTAGCCAACTGTCACTGTTCAACTGAAAACGGATTGCTGCGCTAACATCTGATTGCCCATTGGGAACGTACTAACACGGACGCTTGCACAGAAATCACTAGTCCAAGGTGGTTGATATCTGATAACAAACTCTCCAGTGAGGCTGTCGAAAACTACTTCCCTATCCATGAAATAAAACTGAGGAAAATGAATTTCTTGATGGATCAGCAGTTCGAGACTATTTAAAATACTAGCCATAACAATTAATGGGAAGACCATCTTGGATGCAATCAAGTACACTCAAACCTCACATAGCAAGTGTATCCTCCTATGGCTGATGAAATGACAAGAAACGAAGCCGTTAATCATCACAATTATCCAACGAACGTGAATTCGGATACAACCCCAATTTATCAAGAAGAGAATGATGTGCTTTCGACTAACTGGGAAGAGTTTAATGACAGGGATAATAATATGGACGAAGATGTGAACCCTAACGGACTTTACGACGTGTGTCAACATGATCGGTCATCAAGTGGAAAGCCATAGGCATTGTCTATCAATGTAATGCAATCTATTAATTATTCTGTGGTTGAAAACCACGTCTTCAGTCTCCTGGTTTCAATAGTATGACATATAGTGTAATTACAGAAAACTAATAGAAAAATTTTGTGGGGGGCATCTACTAATTATTTCATTCTTCGACTAACAACTTAACATCTACTCATTTTAACGTTATTATGAGGTGAATACGGAGAACAATTCACCATAAGGAATCGGTGTGGAATCAGAACAAAAAGACAGAAAAATGCTTTTTTTAGGATCATCTATAAAATGGTTTAAATTTATCTGATAACTTTAACAGATGCTCCTATTTCTCTGTATTATTAGAAATTTAAGAGATAAATTTTTGTGATTTTGCATTGCATTTACTATTTCTGTATTTCCAAACAGTGTGCAATTTATGCATAATTAGTATTAGCGACCTATGAACATAAATCGTGGTTGATTAAGTCAACCTGTATATATACATTATATTTATAACATAAAGGATAATATAATTGAATACTTCATCCCAGATTGGTAAAACTATATTTATGCTGTAGTAAAGGTCATACAATTTGAAATTTTCTTCCTTAAAAAATTTATGGTTTCTTAATTGTTTTTAGGTCTTTTACACAATCATTAATTAGCTACTATTACAATACTTCATCAACAGTTCTTATCACTTATCTTTATCTTAGTAATTTTCGTACACATCTAAATCATTATATACAACCCCTGTACGATAAATGACTTTTTCTTTGAGATGAATAATTTATTATTCAATACCATCTTGATGTTGATGACTTTGTGAGATTAAGCACCACCTTTTTTACTTGATTACAGATTATTATGCTAATGTGGTATGGCAACTCGAACTGATGTACGTACGTACGAAGTTCTACGTTGTGACTAACTGACTGACAGATTATTATCTTTTGAGATTACAGTATTTGGATTAGTGTAGATAATTTTTGCTCAATAATTCAAAAGTCATCTATTTTATTATAATTATTTGCAGAAATAACCTACAGATAAAGTACCTTCGTTAAATTTTCTTTAATGGAAGTGTAAACTGTTTACTCATTCAGTAATATTAGACTCATTAAACGTCTAGCATCAATTAAATTCACTGTGTACATTGAGTTATCATGGTTATTTATTTGCATTTCTAAACATCTACTACAATGTTTACAAACCTAAATCCAATGGTGAAATGATGCATTAGAATAATTCATTAAACTAGCTGGACGGAGAATAATTATCTTTATCTGAACTTATATGTTCATTACTTTTCAGGTTCAATAATCACTAGTGTAGTTAGAAATTTATGTTTATTGACAAGAAGCTTGTCGTAATAGCCTCTTTTTCTAGTTTCATTAGGATGAAATGACTGGGTTTTTTTATAATTTGCACAGAAATTATATGCAAGTAATTTTTACCGATTTTCTCATTAAAATAATTGATGAAATCAATTGGACAAATTAAGTTTTGTTTCCACATGGTCAATAAAAAACCCCAGATGCCCTAGTTAGATCAAGGGTGGGGATAGTTTGCTTCCTCTTGAGACGCTCTCACATGGTCACGCGTATATACAGCCAATGTCAGAGAAACCCTACTGACTGCCTTCTCGCGGCAGGTGTTTTTACAAACATTGAGAGGACAGAAAGCAAATGTCTGGCACTTTAACCAGGTTGGCGGATCCACCTAGGGGAGCTGCGAAACCCTGATTCCAAACTAATGGTGAACATGGGCTCCAGGACGCTGTGAGAACAAAAGGCGTATGAACCTATTGTTAGTTACCGGCAACCATGGGACTGCATCTCCTAACGTTACCCCACTGCCTTGTGAATTAGACCTCTGGGTCAAAGGCTTCATGTGTAGCCCCTAAGAGAACCACCTGCTTCGGTTTGGGCGCCCGGACAGTATTACACTGATTCCAAGCACTTCCAGGTTGTATTTCCTCATTTCCGCAGAAATTTGGAAGACTCTGCCGGTCTCCCACATTGTCCGGACATTCCATGTACCTATAAAAATTGTCGCTCTGGTTGTAAGAAGGTGCATCGGCCTCATGACTTCCGAATGAACTCGGCTTTCATCATGAGACGTCATTTTTCCTTCTACTCCCAGGGCAGAGTTTGAATGGTTTGAATGATTTTTTCTGGTTAGCGTTTTTTTAGCGAGTTGATTTTCTACGGGATGGGGTCGCTAACCCCATGCCCAACCCTCCTCCTTTACCCGGGCTTGGGACCGGCAGTAGCCCCTGGAGGAGCTACAGGCGGAGTTGGACAGTATTACAGCCCTCACACAAATCAAATGACGAAGTGTGGTGCACATATATTTGGTGCCTCTTTGTACCAATGTTTATGTGTCTAACTAGTCCAATAAATGATCAATAAAAAATAGGAAATGACTTCTCTTTTCATTTCAATATTTATTAACAACCAGTATTGGTGTTCGAATAGAATTGATGTGAACAATCTGAGAGAATTGCAATAAAATTCAAATGTGAATATACAGTTTTCGACATCAAATCAGAGCTGTCTCTTCTAAGTAGATTTTTAACTAATTAGATTAACAATGCATTGTTTACGGTCAATTAACCAATTCATATAAGCAATAATAAGTGTGCACCCAATTACATGAACACACATTTTCATTTACAGATTAATCAATTACTTATTAATAAATATTTATAACCATAACCCTTATTATTAATAATCGTCAAGAATTTCAATTACCGGCATTAAAATGTTACTAAAACAAGTATATGTATGATCAGATTGTTCGAAATGTATTGCTCTTGTGTATTACACAGTTCTGATAATTTTAGTCTTTTTGTTAAATTATCCAACCCAATCGTCAAATTTAAGTTACACATTAGTCGTCGTTTACACCAATCTTACGTATGATTTCAACAATTTAGTCCCAAACTTCCTTCGGTCAAAATATAATGAAGATAATAGTAAAAAAAACCCACTTTAACATCACTTGGTGCCGGATATAATGAGATTCATCTGATGAATGTACAATTACATTAATTCCTTTTCAATGAAATTCAAACTCAGTACTTATCGGTTAAAACATCAACCTGTTAATTACTGTGATACACATAAAACCAACTGAATACAATCAAACACTGTTTAACATTCCTATACTGTCCAATATCTTAGGGACAGTTGAAGCATTAACAAAAGAAATCCATGTGTCGTTCATGTTATCCTCTCTAAACTATAAAGTTTGATTTGGAAGTTTTATAGTCGTTTTAAATAATATTGAAGTTCGTATGCAAATAATCACCAGACCATTCCGATATGATGGTCTGAAATTAAGCCCAACAGTCAGGTCTTAAGTTATTGGATAGTTAGTGACCTAAAAACTGATTTCCTCCGATAGCCTATGACATTTTGTCATGTTTTTGTGTTATTTTACAGCGTAATAAACTACTCCTCTAGCCAGTAGTCATGTCTGTATTTTCCAATTGACAGCTTCCAGTATTTAGGAGCGGAAATATCTAGAGATATCGGTGTAGACTTTAAAAATAACCTTTGAACCATTAAGTGAATTAGATAAAAAATACTAGATATGGACATTGCACTTCATAAACGACCACAAGCGGTCAAATAAGGAAACTTATTATGAACACATACAGAGAATTAGTTTGCGATATGTAAACATTAGTGTGACATTACAATAAACGTTCCCCTAATCGATTCAAACAAACGGTTCCGAAGTATCAGTCTCTTGTGACTGTTGAAGTTATTTGAACGTACCCTCTTAAGATTTATAGTTCATTTATTAAATCCACCTTATATATTTATGTTCATCAGCCCGATAAATGCGATTACCTAACCACAAATTGTGGATGCTTACTTATAATGAAAAAAAAAATCGTGTGAGTAGTGCTATCATTCACCAAAAGAATCTTTCAGCAATTGGTGAAGACTTTTGGTATATATTGGACTGTTGGACACCAGTAGAAATTCACATGGTTACACTTCTAAGGCTTCTGTCGGTGGCCTGCAGTCAACCAAAAGTGTTCATCACCTTATCACTCACATCTCAATGACTAGGCAAAAGTCTCTTAGATAACTGCAACTTACGTAACAATTCTCTCGAATTATCTGGACAGTTGCTCCACATATTACGAAACTTCAACAACTAAACGGTAAGTGTACAGGATACAGTATTCTTTCCTTCAAGTGTTCCCTCTAGAAGCTGAAACATCTCACGGTAACCTACGCGTAATTATAAAAGAATATAAAAAAGAATATCGACTTTTGCTTCATCCTCACAATGCCGAACTAACAGTTCACCCTAGCTTCGTATCCGATGCATTCATTATCAACTCATCCTTTAAAGTTCTTTGTGAAATTCCAGTAGCTCGTGAAATCTACATCGAACTTTATAATTTCCATTCTTGATAGTCAAAGATTTCCGATAATATACTAGTCAATTCAATGCCAGGATGAACACCAGCTCCGTATGGAACTGATCTGAATTTATATGTTGAAAGAAATATTACATTTTTCGTAGCAATGACAATGAAAGTTTTTTCAATAAATATCTTGACAATTACCTGCAGTAAATCTCGTGCATCATTCAGTATACTGTCACTCATCCATCCAGAAAGACTAATAAAAAAATAAAACAATGAAAATTCATGGTTAGTAAACACATACTACTCATTAGTATTACAACGACAATAGTTATGAAAACACGTGACACAAAAAAGGACGATACATGTGAATCTCAAGATGTTTGGTCAAGAAATTATCTAACTACTTGAGAAGTCATAAAAGCCGTTTAAAAGACATCATAATGCATGTTATATTCGTTTCGGCTGACGAAGGTTTACAGTTTTATTGGTGGATTCGTCCATTTTGCCCGCTTCATCGCTCTCAACCTTAATATTACTCAGTGGTTCATCAGTGAACACTACTTTGAGGGCACCTACATTAAAATACTTGACACTTACATATGTCCTCTACTTCCATAGGCCGTTCAAAATACTGGATTTCGTTACCGTTCTCACCAAATAGACATATCTTATATGCTTCTGTAAGTCGATGGGTGAATCTCTTAGTACGAGATTAATCACTGAGAAGTTAGCAGAAAGCACGATTTTTAGACGGACGTCTGTGGTAAAGTCAAGTGACAATTAGCGTTATGGGAAGTCCTGATGAATACTACTTAAGCTCTGACTCCACTAACGTCCACGGTGTGCGCAACCAGGAAGTGATAACCACCCTCATAACTCTAACAGCACTCAGGATCACTGTATTCAATATATATTCAATCTCCTTCTTCAATTCCTATTATTCTTCGTACGTTGAATCTGAACTCTAAGCTTCCTCTTTTAGATTTCTCCTCAAGTGTCCCTATGTCCAACAATTCTAGTGCGCGAAACATTGTCCCAGGTCTACTTAAACCTTGCTCCAAACTACACATTTCAGCCTTCAACTTACGCATGTCAAACCGGCCATCAGGCCTAATTGGCTAAAACCCTAGAATCTCGCGCCATTGATGTATGCTGTGTCTCTGAAACATGCATACAGGATCCTAGTGTGGTCATTCACTTGACCTCACCTCGCCAAAACCGAAGGATGACGAGATACACCCTCTGTTTATCGGGCGACCCGATGGCTAGTTCTCGTGGACTGGCAGGTGTAGGCATAGTACTAAGTATGAGGGCAGAACAAGCACTATTAGGATGGATCCTTGTTAACAGTTGCCTATGTGCTCTTCGATTACACGGCTCCATAAGAACCCGAAAACATAGGGACACACATCGTTGCCTTTTCGACGTTTCTGCCTAAGCTCCCACTGACTTCAGCCCGGATGAAGTGAAAGATGACTCTTACAGAAAGCTTTCTGAATTTTTTCATGAAGCTTAACGCTCAGACATAGTACATGTAGCAGGTGACTTTAAAGTCCAATTAGGTAGTTTAAACTAGACAGAAAGACATTTAAGTGGGTATTTTAGTATTCCAGCTCAGCAAACAGATAATGGTGATCGTCTGCTGCAACTGTGTTCACAGTCGTTCATTGTTAGCAAGCACCAATTTTAAGCATAAGGAGAAACATCGTCTAACATGGCGACCCACTGCACCAAACCAACGATGGACTCAAATAGACCATATTGCCATCAGTCATCGTTGGAGAGGCTCGATAGAAGACTGTCGCTCGTTCTGGAATACCTGTTTGGACTCCGATCATGCTCTAATACGAGTATGCATTTGCTTGCGCCTCACTGGACGCAGAAAAACTATTAAAACCCATTAGAATTGAACTCAGTGACGAGAAAACTAAAAGTAGATTCCAGGAATAACTGAGGTCACAGTTAGGTAGTTCTGAAGACGAGGCTGACCCAGATGTTGCTTGGAAAGATATAAGAACAGCTGTGGAAACAGCAGTGACATCTATTGGTGATTTAAACCAAAGGGTTACGAAAAGCCGATGGATTTCTACTAAGTCTATTGCACTGATGGAATCTCGTTAACTCAACTCATTAGGTCCTGAACACGATGAAGAACGAAAACAAGACTATAGCTAATCTGAGACGAGGAAGAGCAGCTGATTCAGATGGATTGACTCCAAAGGTCATTAAGGATGGTGGTCCAATTTTAACGATTAGGTTGACTAGTATTTTATCTTAAATCTGGGAGTTGGATGTAATCCCATGCGACTGGTCACAATCACTGATTGTCCCAATATATAAAAAGGGGGCAACATCCCGTGATAACCATAGAGGGATTAGCTGACTAATATAGCATCTAAAATACTTGCCTCGATAATTATCGGGCGCCCAACTAAGACTCGTAAACTGCGAACACAGGAAAATCAAGCTGGTTTCAAACCTGGTCGTGGCTGCATCGACCACATATTCACTATTAGTCAGGTTTTAGAGCAAAGGCATGCTTATCGGCGTCCGACAATGATAGATTCTTTTGACTTAAAAACAGCATTTGACTCTGTAGACCGAGATGTTCTGTGGAAGTGTCTGTCATTGAAATATAGCCTCTGCCAGGGAAGTCCTAATCACTGCCTTCTCGTATCCAGTATCCTGAATGAACGAATGGCCTATGAAGCAATTGTTGGTCACCGGCTACCATGGGAATGCATCGCCTCACGATGCTCCACTGCCTTGTGGATCAGACCTTTAGGTCGAAGGCTCCAGGTGTGGCCCCCTAAGAAAACCACCTGCTTCAGTTTGGGCACCTGAGCAGTATCACAGCCCTCACACAAATCTCATTTGATTTGTGGGGTGCATATTTATCTGGTACCCATTTTTATCAATATTTATGTGTATAAATAAAATAAAATAAAACTGTCATTGAAATGTGTACCTCAGAAGTACCTTGTGAACCTTGTGAAGGCTCTTTACTCGAACACTACCAGTCGAGTGAGAGCTTATGGCGAACTGTCATCTGATTTTACAACCTCAAGTGGTGTCCGACAAGGTTGTCCACTATCCCCATTTTTGTTTAACTTCATTATAGACCTATTGCTGGAAATAACACTCTTGTTGACTGAATTTTCAGGAATTGATTTCCTACTAGGTGTTCACTAATCTACTTAGAATACGCAGATGATAGTCTTGTTTGACAGAGACGCCAATAAAATGCAGTCTTTTGGTAGCACTGAGCAACAATGTCAGGATGTTTTGGATGTGATCCTCCTCCTCTAGACGCGAACTGTTGCTGGCCTGAGTCAACACCTGAACTAAGGATAGGGAGTGGAGTAGTCGGACGCATCGACAGCATCACTTATCTTGGAAGTCTGATCAGCCCCAATGGGTTATTGTCTGACGAAATCTCTGCACGGATTTGAAATGCTCGTTTAGCTTTTGCTAACTTAGGCCACCTATGGCGAAGACGAGATATCCGTCTATAAATCAAAGGACGAGTATACTGTGCGTTAGTTCGTTCTGTTCTACTTTACGGCTGCAAAACGTGATCATTAAGGGTAGAGGATACTCGTCAGTTATTAGTATTTGATCACAGACATCCCAGAAATGTTCGGATCTGCTGGGATCACCGGGTAAGTAATAATAAGGTTAGACGCAGGGTATTAAGGGATGATGGTAAATCAGTTGATGAGGTCATGAATCTTCATCGACTGAGATGGTTGGGCCACGTATTACGCATACCTGACCACAGATTACCGCGGCGCGCAATGCTGACCAGTGTTGGAGACGGATAGAAAAAAAGTTGGAGGCGGTCAAACCAAAATGTGGCGTCAGTCATTGAAGTAACTAACTTCTAGTCTGAGCCATGTTTGCAGATGCAGACTACTTGGTCAGAGTCCGCATGACTATCGTAACCAATGGTTGGAGACTCAGTGTGATATGGTTCAAAATCGATAACAATGGCGTAGGTGTATACACTCTCTGTCTTCCCTTAAACTGTGAGATTAAAATTTCGTTAAACCTTTCTTTCTACCAACTAATTCTTTCTTTCTGTACTATATCCTTATATACAATTTTTCTTTTGTATATTACTACCATTAAACAACTATTTCTATAAATTCAGTGTTCGTTTCGTTGTGCTCATGAGGTGTGACAACGTGGACCGATGCATGTATGTGCCTGGTCCTACGCTGTAGCTGACTGACTGTGAACTATATCTAGTCATGCTACTTTAGGGTTATGAAGTGACTATAAAACTTGGCAGTTCGACTTATAATTTCTAATTACTTGTTTATTATGCTAAGTTTATCGTGCTTCATTCAGATACGGGCTTTTTGTGTGACTTTGAATGTAACAAAATAAAACAAATTAGAAAATCTAATGAAGTCATGCTTGGGCCACTCATCACTTACGTGTCTCAATGTTTTAGCGATGACCAGTTTTTATGCACCAAGTGGATGAAGTGCGATTGAAAGTGTTCGAAGACTAAAGTCGTCAAAATACTTCTTGTATACTATGAAACCATACATTAATTGGCGTAGTTAAAGTAAACAGTTTGAAATAAACAAAATAATTTGATCGGCAAAAATTGGAAGAACAACAACACCCCAAAAATAATTGAAGTCAAAACTTAGAGATACTATGTGAAAACTGAAAGCCGATCCGTGAAGAATAAGTCTAAATTTTCTTAAACTTTCTCTAACTTCGAGATCTCTTACTGTTCTGAGTAAAGTTACAACCAGATACTAATTATGTAACAATACCGACGCAAAAATATTTGTCAGCAAAAGTATCTCCAACCAAAGCAATGAACAAAATTACATAAGATCCTGTATAATCACTTACTTTAACGAAGGGATAACCTGTGATGGCTGCGTCCATACAGAGAGTTTAGTGACACATCCTTTAGCCCGAGTATCAAATTCTTCTGGATGGTGAATCAGTGCGTTAGCTGCTTCTGGATTAGCATATTTCATATCTCTCATGTTTTTGATACAAGCAGTTTGTTCTGCAAGTGCTGAAACCATAATACTTGTTGGACTAGTTAACAACCGTTTAAAATAATGAAGAATGTGCCAAATATGGTGTTTTTCTGGATTCCATATCGGAAATTCCGTGTACACGCTCACCTCTCCAGTAATCCAGTCTACATGAGGATGATAAAATTCTTTAGATAAATAGAGCTTCTAAAATGAAAAGAACGAGATACATGAGGAACAATTTACACTCCCAATCTATAAAAGCATTACAAAAGTTTTTGACCAAGGTATATGTGAAGAACTAATATCTGTACATCACTAGGTACTTTAGTTTAAGAAAATAAAATCCTTTTATAGCACAAAAAACATATTTAGATACCCTACAGATAGTTCTACATTGGCCACAAGGACAACTTACAATCCGACATTGCTTTTTGATACAAACGATTTTAAAACATAACCACCAAGTTATTAACTTTTCATACAAATATGGACTCCTTTACCAAGTGACAACATATACTTCCGTCCTTAAACCGTTGTTTTTTCAAAGGCTAGGGATACTATGGAATTGACCGTAACTGACGACAGGAACTAACGTGTTTGACCCAGTTAATGGTCTGAACGAAAGATAGAACTGAATGGAACTATACAGCTGATTAGCTTACCCATCCCTACACAAGAGCCACACAATCCAATGACCTTGTAGCCTGATTTTCCTAACCTGGTTACGAAACTATCCTCGTAAGGAATAAATAAGGTCTTATTAGGCACACTTGTATTTAGTTGGCATCAACACGACTAGTGTCTAACGATTGTATGTTCAGTTCAAACTAAAATCTGATATGCCAACTGGCTTATTTTCAATCATTGAACGCCAGTGAACAAATTAAAAATACACAATATGTTCTTCATGTAAATTCTATTTTATTTACTGTAAATTGTTGTTCCTGTCTATTTAGAATATATCTTGTAACCACTTCAGTCTTATCTTGATTTATGTTAACGCAAGTGAGATACAATGAAGACAGTAGTGATAAAGGACATAACAGTTGGATGTAAAAAGAAATAATATAAACGGAGTACGACTAGGTTGACGCACATCCCAGTTCTCCGATTATTTGATAACATATTCTGATCATTGTTAAGGGAAACAATAGAAGGTTTGGTGACTAGTCTTCTGTAGTGAAAACAAATTGACAACCACTAGATAAGTTGACTTGAGCTCAGTGCTAATACCCTGACCCTATAACATAAAACATCTGTATAGACCAAAGCAATTAAAACAGGGTTGAGTATTTTAACCACTACACAACCTGCAAGTATTTGACCTTGGATGAAAACCTTAGTGAAAAGATGTTAGGGACTTACAATATCAAATTACAACTTATGAGAATCAAATAAATATCAATTAGGTTGAGAATCTATTGCAGTTTGTTATTCAGTGTGACCACCATTTACATAATCTCCATTTATTCTCAGGATATTTTGCTTCAATGGCAATCAGTCATTTCAAACATTCCAGTTATTTTTTATTGATGCACCATCGACAAATTTAGTGCATTTTGATTAATTACACTGTGTCAAGATCAGAAAGTTTTATCTGCAAAACTGGTGTTCCTAGTCGAGTTAGCAAAGAAAAGAAAATAGTTTCGTCCACGATGTTGAGGCTGGAATTGCGAAATGTTGGCACAGTTAATGAACGTATCAAAAGACTGTGAAAATGATAGAGTCCCAATTAGTAACATCCGGTGGTGTTTTGGACGATGGATAGAGTGTGAAAGACAGATCAAACTCCGATTTTCCCCAGCAACATGAGTAAGACTATCTTAACCAACGACGACTGACCATATTATACACAGAGGAAAACCGCAAAAAAAACTCCAACGTTTAGAGCACTACAAGCCACCAGGCCCAAGTAACGTACACTCCGCTCTTTTAAAGGATGGTGGCGTACCTCTTTCAAGGCTTCTTGGAGGGGCTTGAGGGTTAGTGTTGCAACACTCAAGAATAAAATGACCGTCGTCTCCATCTTTAAGAAGGGCTCACATAATCTATCCAATAACTATAGGGCGATAAGTATAATTCCGACTGCATTCTCTCCCGGCTTTACTGTAAGCAGATTGATACTATCAGTTACGCCACCACCAGCACCCATACGACTATCTAAATGTACGAACTTTTCGACTAATTCTAACAACCCAACACGAAGATTGTACGTAGACACAGGCTCCTGTGAATTTTGCAGAAGTGCCTAACATTAACAAGGTTTAAAGGACATGTAACCCTCTGTATAGCAAACAAAAAGTGGATGACTAGTAGCCGACCGCCAACTGCACCAACGGAATTAAACCCAGTCACTTGTAAACTCACGCCTTCAAAACAACAGCTAAAATCAACTAGGAACTAATAAAGTCAGGATTTTATGTTGAAAACCACGTAAGTATTTTATCCATTGGGCTAAACATGAATCTTTTGCGGACCGCAAGTTTACGTTATATCTGACTAAACAAACGGAGTACAGAATATATCAGACTGGAAGGATGTGCGCCGAGTAAACAGGCTGAAATCAATTCACACGTCTGGCCGCATAAGCAAACTTTATTATGAAATCGAGAAAAAATAAATAAGGGATCTCTTAATAGAAGTGAGTAGAGTGAGTAGGTAAACATTTATCCACATTTCTAAAAACTGACACTTGAAACATTTACTCACCGGCAGTTTTGTCGATGGAAAATCATCAGGTAGAGATAAGACAAAATCGAAAACTCCTCCAAAATAGTAACCACTTCGAACAGAAATAATCCCGAGCCATTCTAAAATTCAGTTATGCTATTATTATAACACCAACTAAGTGGATCATTTTCACATGGTCTAACAATAACCCCAGAGAGATTTTTTAGTTTTAGGAGCGTTCTTCAATAGGAAAATAGGTTAAGAAAATAAATAATACACTAACAGCTCAGCTAAAATGTGATAACCTTGATTGAGCATACTTTGTAGCGTGATTTTCGAGCTGTGTCACAATCCCTGGTCCAATGTAAGTTCAAGGTAAGGTTAAAATGGTTATGCTTTCCCTGTTTAGTACCATTTTGCGCAACTATTTTTAGCTTGCATGAACAAGGTTTTGTTGAAAGAGCTCGTCAAGACAAATAACATGATTTATTTGTGTAGTGCGTTCTGGTCGATGCCCAATATCCAATGTCTTTATCACAAGCTCTCATAAACCGATTGTTTTATTTTCGCTCGCATCTTATCGTCTTGGCATTGCTGCGGGCAGTTAGTAATGTTCATTTGGTGGAAGACTAGTCACCTGAATGCACAGATTATAGTTAGTGTGATAGTTCTTTATGGATTTGTATATCTTGTAGTCGAGCGAGTTTGCATCAGATTAGTAAGGTTATCTTATTACCGGGAAGGCAGTTGGTTGATTGTGATGTGTGGAAAAAATAGATTGATAATACCAGTGTTGGGAGAACACAATTTTTTCAAGAATAAACAAATAATTTACTTAATAATAATGTGAAGGATACCGAATAGATATAATTAGAGTATAAATGTAGATGCCAATTAGAAAGATAAGAAGTAGGTACTGATAAGCGGTAATAACAACTGTGACAATTTAGGAGAAACGCATAAGACACGGCTGACTCAAGAGGGAGTCTTCATCTACGGGTGAGCTCGTGCTTGTTGAAACTCCTCCTGAATCTATCCACTGAATGGGCTGTGGTCACTTCGTCCGAAAGAACATTGCGAATGCAACTCCTAATAAGAAAAGTGTGAGTGTACCTGGAGTTTTTCTCTTTGATGCACAAATTTTCGCTGTCTGCCTCGAAGAGTGTAGCGATGAATTTCTGTAAATATGCTTGTATTCAAGTGACTTAGCATAATTAAAAAGTAAAATCTCGTATAGCTCGGCGATAATAATCCCACATGTTTGGGTCTGTCCCTGTGAGATTTATATTTTGGCCGTATAACCCACTTGGTTCCCAGTCTCTGTGAATAATCTGAGAGATTTATGTTTCTTTTAAATTGAGGAGGTGCAATGACATTATGGACTTCGAGGTGAGGCCATACGTATGATTAAATAGTGAAGCAGAATGTTCATAACATGATATTTCAGCAAATTAGGTTTTAACTCATTGTCTACGGCCTATTTTTCCATTTTAAAAAATCTTACTTGGAGATTAGGTTAATCTCCGCTTTTCGTGGACCTCCCATTCTTTCTATCGTCTGCATAGATTAGTGCTACTGAGCTTATTTTATCTAAAAAATAGTTAGTAAGGATCAAGAACGAGAGTGGACTAAAGATTGAGAGCACATAACCAGTCTTTCTTGAACCCCTAGTTGGACTTTCGTGGAGGCCGAAGTTTGTATCCGCATGTTCCCTCATTTGTTTATTAGCCAGTTCTTCGATTGTATTGAGATTAATACAACTGGTCTGTAACAGGCTGAATCTTTTCTGCTCCCCACTTTGAAGATTGGGTAGAAAGTGGCCTGCTTCTCTCCTCTTGGTAGTTGATTTCAATCTTCACGGTTTTAGGATTGTACATCAGGTTTTTTCACGTCCTGGTGACTTTCATGAGTTCAATTGTTTTAGACTCTTCGAAAATAAGACGGGAGTTAGTTGGGCATCTCTAGACTCTTCACGGGCTCCTGGTTTAAATGACTCGGGAAGTTAAAATTAAAGATCTCTTCCATTTACACATTTGTAGGATTTTTATGGTTGTCCCTTTATGAGTTGAAACCCCCTGGTTTGTGTGCTATGTGTTTGACCTGTAGCAAGAGTTCCGTACCTCGCTTACTCCAAAACCATCACTTTCGTGTGTATAATTGCCATTAGGTACGTTGTGTCGTAACGCGTTTTGAATGACTCCCCTCACCACGTTTCAGTGGCCACCTACTCATGAGGATGGTGTATGTTGAGGTGGCCCCTTCATAATCGTGTATTCCGCTCTGGTTCAGTCAAAATGGAAAACATTCTCGTACATCCAGAAAACTTCGTTTTTGACCACACTAAGCATTTCGTTTTATCAAAGACTTATTGTCGTTTGAAAATAAGTAACAACTGTTATAACAACCTTATGCTCTTCAACTTGTGAAATGACTGGCTCTCAGGTCAATCATATGACAGGAAACTATTGATTGACTGGAATAACCGAACTTTCTCACCGAAAATTAATCTTCCTATCGTTATCGGCCTCTTTTATTTATCTAAGGCACTCGTTAGAGTAGATCACTGAATTCCTCTAGCGTTTGTGGGTGCTTGACTGTATAGATCTCAAATCAAATAGGCAGGAGTGCTGTAAGCTTCATTACCTGGGTAACTCCTCTTCTCATTGCCCCCCAGGTAACCTAGCTAATATTCTAGATTCTCAAACCCTGTTACGACCACGATTATCCATAACTTTGGCGGGAGATATGTGAACCAGACAATATGTGGATTTTCCAGGTGGCCCTACACAGGATACACTATCAGACTGCCAGAGACTTCCCCTTTAAGTACCAGTAAGTACAAAGGCTAATGATGGACATTGATAATACTCTGCCAACCTCGCACTTTTGAGCTGATCAAGTGCTGTACTTTCTGACATTGTAAATAACCTGGGGGAAACTCTTTATGGTGCACCATGTTTCTCTTTCGACTAGCATTTTGCAGTCAATAAAGCCTGCTGTCTGTTTGCGTTCCTTTTTGGGATATTAGGCAGCTTGGCTCCATAAACTATCCAGGTTTTTGATGGTGGTCTAGCTTCAATTGACTCATGATTTCAACTTTGAAATATATTGAAATCTCCACAAATCCCCTTCTGATTATAATCATATGCTCTCTAGTGACTGACTTCAAGATACATGTCCTGGAGTTCTGGTGGGAAGCAGTGACCAGTGAAGTTCAACCACGTCTGTTGTGAGATAACAACTCACTGAAGGCAATTGGTGAATGGTTGCTCATAATTCGTGGATCAGTTGAAGTTAGACATTAACACCGTTGGATGCCGGCTCAGTGGTCTATCGGTTAGGGGCTCTGGCTCGTAACTGGTATGTCCTGGGTTCGAATCTCGCGAGTGCGGGATCGTGGGTGCGCACCTCTGAGGAGTCCCATAATAGGACGAAACGGTCGTCCAGTGCTTCCAGGTTTTCGATGGTGGTCTAGCTTCAATTTATTTCATGATTTCAACTTTGAAATATCCAAGACCATTTACATTTTTACTCGATGCTTCATTTGTTGAAACCGCTGTATTAAGTCTCTTTACCTTGAGAAGCATATCTATATCTCAAGACGTATCAGAAAAAATCAACAGAAGTGAAACCCAAACTAAAACATAGAACATAGTAATTTCTTACAGAAGTTCTAAATATGCATCTAAAGCAGTACAGGGAGTTATGAGGGAGATGATAATGTCGCTCATAATTCTCTACATCTCAACAAACCAACGATTTATTTTAGTAACATACTGAATTCGCGAGAGCAATCACTGAGCGTAGAATACGGGCAAACTCAAGAGACATTTCGTGCAGACTTTTTTCGCTGTTTGAGTCAATAAGTCATGGAACTCCCCACCTGAAGTTGTAATAAGAGCAGTTGTTGAAGTTCTTAAAAAAGGGTCGTAGGTTTGGTTTGGTTTGGTAAGTGCTCCAGTTGTCACTGTGTTGGTGCACTGTTCCATAACCACACGCCCTTCAAGCTAAATATGTTACTCAAAAGGCTCCCATTAAATGATGAAAACATGAAGAAGGTCAGAACAAGTAAATTCAGGAACGCTTAATTGATACAGAATGTCTCGGTCATGTAGGAACGGTCACTTTATGTATCCATTTAGTTTTATACCAAAAATACTATTCTCTTACCACCAAGAATACATTCAATAACGTGCTCCAAAAGAACATTCCTGCGTATACGCAGGATGAGTCAGCATGGGCATTGATGTGACTCCGACATATAATCACGTAGATGAGACAGACACATAATTGAAACTCCATACTATTGGATTACGTCTGTTAATCTGGTAGCAAATATAGCTGCAATAATACTGAATCACAACTAAAACTAACAACTTAGCGACCACTCCCATTATTGAACTGTTTACGTTTGGCCTCCAAATCTGGAATAAATGCGACAAGAATCACACCTCTGAAAGCAAATATGCGCTTCTTCTACCTGAAGAAAGGTCACAAGAAACAAACAGTTCTTGATTACGTCCATCAAAGTTTCAAAACTGTGTTTGAAGAAAATGCTATTAAACGGATGAAGAACTTTGTGTTTTAATCCAATAAACTCGGTCGGAAGTAGATTGTAACTTTTAAACAACTTCACACTAATGGTACGCATCGAAAAGACCTCGGTAGCAAAAAACCTGTATGAGGGCTTGATCCAAACCGAGCTTAGATGGATACGCCATTTCACACAGTTACGAAGGTTACAACTTGGAATTCAATTGAGTTACCGACAGGCAAAATGATAAATTCATAATCCTATTAAGTGGGTATCTCACACGTGAGTTTAATTCGACGAGATAAAAAGTTTTAATCAGAGGTGGATTCCAAATGCTTTAACTCATGAGTTGTCTCCCATGTCAGGCCATTTAAATTATTCGAAAAAAAGTCAATTTTCTGAGGCTGGATAACATAGATAAAAATTGGCAAGTCTAAAATAGCGACCCAAAATAAACCTAGTCAAAGTAAAGTCCGAGGCAAAGTGGTGTTCTGTATGGTATTAAAAATAGTATAAAAATATGTATAAATATAAATGTAAACCAGAGAGAAGCCTTATTTAGAAAACCGAATAAGGTCACTCTTGCAAAGATTGAAAAGAGACCATTACTTTTATCGAGTGTCGACTATAGGTAAGCGTAAATGAATAACATTGCAGATTTGCCTTAATCACTCCAAGAGTTTGGTGGGCTGCATAGACCAATGGTACGTAAATACTGGGTAACGACACTGTGGTATCGCGACACTTTTTAAGCTACTTTTTTACTTCTGCTCTGTATACAGCCAAACGTCGAAGTTAGTCACAAATTAATTCGAATGTATATTTTCTGATCCTAAAACTAAGTGAAAAATGAATTTTCCATTTTGCGGTACATGGTATCGCGAAATCCTTGAAAATCCATTATCCAAGTGCTGTTACAATAGTTTCTCTATAATTGCATCGCAGACTTGCAATGATTTTCATTTAATTATAAACTTAGAGTAGACAAATAGTTTACTTGTAGATGAAATAACATCATTTAAGTACATATCGTCATAAAAACTTTATTGTCATCAAGGCTGCCAACACTGGCACCAAGTAACGATACCAAAATAAGATTTAATGTTTTTCCCTTCTTTATTGCAGTTTCGGCTGATTCTCACTGTTTTTTCTATACTTTTATGCCAGAAATGGGTTAATAGTGAGGATATGAGTTGTCTTTAGGGATGTAATTGTTACATATATGCTTTAAGTGATAATAACACATAATCAGCTGTTAATATTACAATCTACAGTTAGATATATAAGCCAAGTCATTATACTGCAGGAAATAAATCTGACTCATGTGCGAAAGGTACAACAATGTGAAGCTTTTCCGAGATACTAGGCAAACATAGCGCTACTACTCCTTTTACTCTAGATTTTAAACTGAATTCAGTTTCTAGGTTGCCGATATTCTTGCCAAGATAGCTAATAGAAAAATTAGTACTATTATAAAGCGATCTAGAGAGCTCATTGAAATGTATGATTGTTATAATCTCAGTTGACCAGATTGTCCGAGAGCGCATGTGATGACATTCGGAAATCAACCAAGGCGTGTCTAGCTTGCATGCTGACGCCGTAACTGACAATTAGTTATACCTCATGTGGGACTGAAAGTAAAATATGTACCAAATATGTAACCAATTGAACTCATAACTTGTGCGCAAATGACTTCGAACAATTCAAATCATGAACGGATGTGTTTGTCAACCATAGGTTCACCAAGAGTATGTATTGAGTGGTAGTTATTAGTGAACTTCTCTAACAGATCTTCGCTCCCTGCAGAGATTGATATGTTGTCCAACGTTTGGAAAACCAGGTCGATCGTGTAGTACTTTGTTCAACGATTGCTATGTCTAAATAAATCTATGATGATTATAGTGATCAAGAAACACACACTACGGATTAGATCTTTGGCATGTGCATACAGAATATGACTACATGGCAACATGTCATTGGAACGCTCACAAGCACGTCGTGCACGCAAAGTATCAACAACGTACATCATGCCCTTGTCGTAGCAGCGCATGTATTATCCTACTATGAATTCATGTCTCATTTTCCTAAAATATCCATAACTTACAGTTACAATTTTGGCTGCGAAAGCTGTGAACTCATTTAAAAGAGTTTGAAGGTGTGGGTCCATTTGAACCATTTGAAATGACCTTGGGACCCAGATTGAATGGTACATTTAACTATATTTCTTACCTCATGTTTCGGAAAACGTTGCAAATCCTTTTTAGTGTAATATGGACACAAACATAGGTCAGTAGGCCTTCTTTTCCAGAACGTCGATAAAAGAGAATCACCTCTTCTGAGACATTCTCTTAAGCGTTTATGAGCAATTTCCACACGATTGCTTCTGTAGTTGCCCAGGCTTAGTACATGTCGCTGGTAACAGCCAGCCTAAATCGACTCCCGGTCAATCCAGTGATCCCTTATGTATTCAAAGGTCCGTGGAAAATGGGTTTTCAGGCACTCGTACTTCCCAGTAAGTCAATAAAATAGGCTATGAAAAGCGAAGCTTACATGTCAGATCACCTGGTTTTTACAAGATGATCCAAGTATATGCGAACGTCGTCATTTCTGAACTACAGCAAATATTTTGCACAGTTAACGCTTACCTTTCTGTAAACTGCTCTTAAAACATGGAACGAATAGGGTTTTGTGTCGGCATAACTGTGCGTAGACTGTACTGCGGTAATTTCAGTCGCTTCCAGTCTTCAGTAATAAGGATAGGAGGTCTATTAACCTATTTTAATCCTTGCAGTTTGTTACAATGTGGAGGTCCAATCTCGCTTTGAATATATCAACGGAAGATGCTGATATTACATGTTCTGGTAGAGAATTCCAGTTATTCGGAATCCATAACAAAAGTGCATGTATCATATGTACCACACATCGTGTCTTTGAAGTGCTCAAGTAGTCTTACGACGTCTTCGCGTCGCTCTCGCATAGAAATAGCATACATAACGATCTGCTCTTGCTCAAGGCTATCAGTAACGACTAGTCGGAACAGTGGAAAACTTCAATACAAAGTTGTTATTATTCGTTAGTTGTCCAACTTTGTTGGTCTGATAAGCCGAGTCAATACATACTACCTCCGGAAATGCGTGATAAATAACTATTTTCCCCCTGAAATTGAAGGAAATCATAGGAATGTTCCATTTTTATGGAATACTTTTACTTCGGTGTCTGGCTGGACGCGCTGTAACATCTCGTTTATATTTCGGCTGTCTAAACTCAATTACTTCGAATGTGGGTTTAACAACCTGGGTACAACTGCGATCGCATTTTGGCCATATTGTCCTTGACAAGCTGTTTATGTAACTTCAAAGAAACCAAATGTCGTAAGCTACGAGTTGGCGTATTACTCAATAGAAACGGTCTTAAATATAATCGTCCACTTGACGTTAACTATCGTCTCGAAGGGTCTACGGGAATGCACCCTTCTGTGCAAAGATGGTTGTGCATGGTTTTAATGGAGGTGACCTTTAACTCACCATTTACTTCACGGACCCGAATTCCAGATTGGCAGTTACAATATTTATACCTGAGGGATAAACTCATTTGGAATGAAGCCTACGTAGATGACTCAAGTCATCTTCTTTGTCTAGGTTGTTGTGGTGAGTTAGAAGGTGGATGCTCTTCGGAACAATGCTGATCACTATCATCATTTACATCCTGAAGTTGAGCATCTGATTCTGACGAACTGCATTCACGTCCATAAGTACAAAAATATCTGACGAAAACTGCTTTATTGCTGGGTTATCATTGTTCTTTTTACATAATGACACAACAATTAGTATGCGTATACTGTAAAAAGAATTACTAATCACAGAAGTGCTATTACTTTATATACTTCTTTTAAACAGGCCTCAAAATTGTCCCGATCGGTAAATCGTCGCGACAGCATGATATCATTGAAGATTCTTCCTATATCATACATCATTACGATTACATCACTATGGTTACTTGAAGGATAGAAGCTACCATACATAGTGCGACTAAATTCAAACCAAAGATAAATTTGTCTTGATTTGATCGCTTTCGTAAAATCTTACGATTTGTCGAGGTTACGCACCAGTTTTTTTCAACGTGTGGTCCTCATATGCTGAATTACATAAACCAATTGACGATGCCACTGGATCGTTTCTGGTTTGGTTTGATGCGTTTCCTCGTCGATTCATTTACTTGTCTACTATATTTGGTTGTTTTATTGATCTATTAATGTTTGGGAGATGTTAAGAAAAGCACACTTTGGGCGGTGTGGATTCGCTTCGACACAATTCATATCAAATCAGTCTAATCCGATCCTTGTTTTATTTCATTTCTTTAAAATTGCTGGTGAGTCTCGTGCATGTCTTTATAATCATAACTCAGGTACAAAGAGGTTTACTTTTGGAAATAATTCATTATTATTATTTTTAGTTCACTTGTGTCCAGTCAGTTCTGCCTTACACTGATTGTTAACATCATTTATTCTTATGTAGATGTTGATAATATAATTATAACTATTTGTCCAAGCATCTTAGACGGCATTTTTATGTTAAACAGTCAACATAAATCTCTCAGCATTTGTCAAGCACAGCACATGCAGGTGGGTTCGTGGTTATTAGAATTTCCACTTCACGGTTTACAATACGAATTAACGTGGTGTATACACATGTGTAATGATGATTTATTGATAACGTCGACTTAGTATGGACAGTGACATCGAGTTAATAATTTTTCATCCTTCTCTCTGATCTGCCACTTGTAGATACATGAGTAGTATTTCTCGCGTGCAGACTGTTTAATCTTCAAATTTTTAGGAAGTATATTACATCTGTCTTCAGTATGACTACTGCAATTGCGGGGTTACATATGTATAATGTTAGACTTAAAAGGGTTCAGAAAAACTATTTTCAATACGTTTTTTAACTTTTTGATTACCTTAGGTAACGATGATATTGAAAAGTGGGTTAAAATTAGCAGCTAAGATTTATTGAGGTAACTGTGGGACAGCTGTGTTTTTATAAGTATGGCACTTGTTAACAAAACATAATTCATGGACAAAACTAGGCATCAGTCGTATGAATATTATATGTAGGTTTCTAGTAGGAACTTGGAGATCTCTGGAAATTCGAAGCGATTCCCCAAATTTAATAGAAATGTTTGATTAAAATTTGTTTTTATTCCTTGCAAAAACCCAAACCTGAGTGAATTTCGGGTTTCTTGTTATACTTAACACAGCGTTTTCAATGGGACTATGCAGAAACGACCCCATAGCACGTCAATTTTTTCCCAGAATTAGGACCCCAGTCGCACTTCGTTCGCACGATTCATTCTCGTTGACGAGTTCTATGATTTTTCTTCTGCTGATTTTGGTGGTTTTCACCCAATTTTATTACGTGTAATTGTAGATTTCTTTTGTCTCTTAGTTGCCGAAACATAGTCTAGTCCCATACTCGCTCTTCTTCTATTCTAGAATCAGTGTTCACCAGTAATGAAGAAATATATGCAACTTATAAATACGCTCTGCACGAAGTATATTGCAAGCTTAAAGTGATCGTACCTTTTAGTAGGAGGAAAGTTAAATATGGGAACTACTCAGTCAAATCTATTCATAATCTGGAAAATTGTGGTATGTCGCTTATGGATTTGATTGCTAATTGAGTGTCGGTTGATAGATGGAGCTTAATTACCATTCCATTTTTAACTTGCTTCGTGCTGATGATTTTTTGAATAAAACCGGAGCAAACATTGATGCAGAATAATATGGGTTTATTATATTTCGTTGTTCCTCATCAGCTACTCACAACCATATATGTGTTGAAAGTTAACACTGAGGTATTGGTGTTATTCTGCATCAATGTTTGTTCTGGTCTTATTCAAATTCATAAAGGGAACCAATCGTGCGTAGTGATTATTCATCTCGACTAACTGAGTGTAAACTGCTTGTAATCTTGTTGGATGATGTCTAGTCCATTCTGTAGTCCTGTTTCTGGTCTTGAGTTGTGTATCTGACCTGGTGTGATCCAGTCTGCATAATGCATATCGATCGACTATCTAACCTAATAGTATTATAGACCTCGGTCCCGGTCATATTGTAGTAGTATATCATGGCGACCGGCAAGTAGTTTTACTCGCTTGCTGTATCGCATATTTTTGAGAGACAAACCTGAATTTCTTTATAAGTTCTTTTTTGGAAGACAGTTAAGGTTATCACTTGTTTCACTAAACTCTGACGTGATGTTTGTTGTCCCAGTGAAACAATTTTAATAGGATCCAATCCACTTTCTCACATACTGCTTTACAGTTCTCACTGGATCTACTTTACGGGTGTAGACCGTGGCCTTTGGAAAAAGACGATATTGTATCTCACTAGTATTCGATCAAAGATCTCTTATATATTTTGAGACCACCAATTGAGAAGTGCTGAAGTTGGACTCAAGGTACTGGGCAAGGAATGCAAATCGATCAATAAGGTGATGAATCCTTACAGATTAAGGTACTTAGGTCGTGTCCAAGTACCGCCGTTCTCGATCTGCCATGATGGATGGTGTAAGAGTTAGTTGGAAAAAAGTCAGGGACGGCTAGATCAAATTATCGCATCAGTCCGTAAAGTTGTTGACCCTTGGACTAAGTTGTACAGGTGGGTGCGCCGACCTACTTGGTTCGAGTCTCACGAAATCTCAGCACGGATTCGAAAAGCTCGTTTGGCGACTTACGTCACCTATGGCGAAGACGAGATATCTGTCTATCAATTAAGGGACGAGTATGCTGCGCAACAGTTCTCTCTGTTCTACTTTACGGCTGTAAAACATGGTCATTAAGAGTAGAAGATACTCACAAATTACTAGTATTTGACCACAAATGTCTTAGAAATATTGCTCGCATCTGCTGGGATCACCAGGTAAGTAAAAGTGAGGTTAGACGCAGGGTATTAGGGAATGATAGTAAATCAGTTGATGAGGTCATGAATTCTCATCGACTGAGATGGTTGGGCCATGTGTTACGTATGCCTGAACACCGATTACCACGACGCGCTATGATGACTAGTGTAGGGGATTGTTGGAAGAGAGTTAGGGGCGGCCAAACCAAAACATGGCATCAGTATTTGAAGTCACTAACTTCTAGTCTGAGCCATGTTGACAGATGCAGACTACCTGGTTGGGGTCCGCGTGACTATCGTAACCAATGGTTGGAGACTCTAGGTGACATGGCTCAGAATCGATCACAATGGCGTAGGTGTATACACTCTTTATCTTCCTTTAAACCTTGAGACTAAAATTGCTTCATATCTCTCTTCCTTCCTATACTATATCCTTATATACAACCTATAATTTATATACTACTACCACCACTACATTAATTACTTCTATGAATCCGGTGTTCATCTTGTTGTGCTAACGAGGTATGGCAACTTGGACCGATGCATAAATGTGCCTGGTCCTACGTTGTAGCTGACTGACACCATTAACATATTGATCTGCAACTAATTAAGACGTGCTGAACGAGCAATACTCTCGATAGTTTGTATTTATTTCGATTAAACCGGAATAATGCACTCTTGGATTTTTTTCAGTTCAATACAGGTCCTGGTGATTCTAAGAGCCAGTGTCAAAATCAATCCAATTCACTTACAGAAAGGTCTAATTCTGGTGTTAATGCTACACTACTATTATCCATTAAATCCAGTCATACTTTGATCGTTTATCACTACTACAATGATAATTTATGTAATCACTTAAATATACATTTAGGAACATTTGTATTCTAATTTTTACTTAATTCACTTGTCTCCGATCATCAATTACAATGGCTACCGAATATGACGCCATATCTAAGTATCTGGACAATTCGTCTGTTTCTATATTTGGATTATTTGGCAAACTCAATTTAGCACTGACATCATGTTTGTTGGCACTCAAAATGACTCTACTAAAACAACTGAAAACGATAAAAGTCGTAATACGTTCTACGAATAAGTAAACGAAAGATAATGAACTCCCCAAACTACCAACATGGATTATGTGTCTATTTCATTGTACTGTAAAAAAGCAGAGTATTAAGGAAGTTGGTTCAAATAACAAAAATATCCAATTAATGCTCTTTCTGTTTGGTTCGTGTATCTGTTTTGAAACCATAAATGCGAGAACAGAAAAAATGACATGAGTACAGCGGAAGTTGTGAAGTAGATATTCATCATTATTATTACTATCGGACAGTCCATGACTGTATAGCAGGAGTCTCTGTATATTTTGTCTGATATAAGAATAAATTTCCATCCACGATTTCATAAGCATAATATGTAAACCATCAGTGATATTTGCGGTACAACCAAGGGATTCCGATTAGTATTTATTTCTTGTAAAAGTAGCATGCTATATCTCACAGTAGAATTCCATGGACAATACAAAGGACTTAATAAAATTGTACTAATGTATGTATAAAATGAACTTCCCATATCTTATACTGTATATAATTCTGCTTAGCTTAATATCTTTACCCATAGTTCTTTTTGTACTTGCATACGTATCTATTGAAAAAGAATATCAAATGAAGGGTTCTTGTGGTAAGTGACATAGCATCATTGATTAGCTTTATTTCGGGTTTACTTCGTGGTATAAAAAGTAGGCTAGAATAAAAAAGATACAGTTTACCAGTTAATAGATATCATCTGGTAAAGCCATATCTTTCATATGAATTTCTGGTGAAAGGCAATCTTTTCGATGGAGAATTGTAGGGAATTCAAAATCCTCGGAGGAAATTCATGTACAACAGACGAAAATTGACCGATCAAGTATAATCCTAGCAGTAAGAAACAACTTGACTCAGTGTGCAACACTTGGGTGTCTACTCATTATTATTTTGCTGTCTTAGTTTTGCCATGTATAGCATATCAGAACTAGAAGTTTACACTGAGTTCCCATAACTTTATCCGCGGAATACTGAGTCGGCGACAATCTCGGAACATAAATAATGGATCATTCAGATCTTAGCTTACAGCGGTTCCCCTATATCTCATTATGATTAGCTTTCGGTTTGTAAACTTATAAAGAGAATATACACATGCTGTTGTGCAAGTTTATCGTGTCTTCTCTGAGGATAGTCTTGTCATTCACTATGAATACTCATCAATGTCCCCACATCTCCCAGTGGGTATACCTTGTGACCCCCAACGTGTAGTATGCTTATGGCTTCCGAGACATCTATCTTTACTAGCCTAACATTCTTCGTTTATGCGCACCCATTTAGCGGTCTAGAGTGGAACAGCAGAATAGTTTCCTTCATAAAGAACAGGATATTGATTTTGATTATATACAAATCAGAAAGATTGTTTTTCAACACTAATGACGCTGCCTATGGGAAGTGTAATAATTACTCCGAAGTAACTAGTGATTAGTTTCTCAGAATATCGACCTCAACCAACCGTTGTGCGAGAATTGACTACCTGATAGGGTCGGACAAAATTCAGTATATGCTTCAAACTTGGACACATACAGAAACGAGAGCAACAAACTCTCATCAAGAACACGCGATCTGCCGACTGAGATTTATACTTCTCAATCACAGCAATGTATTTGCTACAATTTGTGAGGTAACGGTGTTGCCTACTAGAGCATCACTTTCTGAGACAGCTCTTGGTCACTTTTCCAATCGTTTATTAATTGGGCTGATTAACGAAAGTAGCGTCGAACTTTCATTCAGCGTACAAACGAAGCCGGGAACCTACGGTTGACAGACTAGTTGAAAACTAAATTACAAGGTCGTACTAGGACCCACCCGTGGTGACAGATCATGACAAAACCCAGACACGACCAGAACGTGTACTCAAATAAGCGCTACTAATTCATATTCAAGAGTACAACCAATTTCAGGGAAATCAAAATCCGCAGTCTCAAGCATGAAACCCCTAGCAATGATACTGATCAGTAAATTGAGAACGAAGTCAGTTGCGTCTACTACCGTAGTATAAAGATGCAGTTTCGAGCAAATCTTGTGACCACGTGGAAATCGAACATCCTGAAGCATCTGGCCGCCGCTATAATCACCGGACCGAGCACCTACACCCTGGAACCTCCCCTCACAAACGTGACCTGTTTGTCGCAAACAGGAGTCCCTGATAGCATTACTAACTTTGTCAAAAACCTCGCTACATCTGGCTACCTCCGCATTTGAATGTCGATATCTGTAACTGCTTTGACCCTAAATACTATAGGTTGTAAGTAGCTGATGAGAATCTAACGAGATAAGATGAGTTTATGCTATTCCGCACTAATCTTTGTTACTGCTCTTTTAGAGTATCTTAGTTGGAAATGTCTACTCGGTCTGCTGATAAAGACGTTACATGGACGGATGAAGTGCCGAATAAGGTACAACGGACCGCGAGTTAGTCTGGAACTGATGGAACTTAATTAAGACTACGTAAGTGGACATGAAGACAACTAAGCTTGACTTTTGCAACAAGATAGAAGGAATTCAATCAACAGAATTTTATTTAAACACCATGTAGGCATGTACAGGTTGCGCCAAAACATGCTTATGTTGAAAAAACAAACACACGGCGTGACTAAATGGGAGTCACCAGGTCAGCCAAATATCTGAAAACATAGAAAGTCAGGGACAATAGTTTAACTAAAGCATTCAGAAAGGTTTTGTTACATATAGTGTATTCAATACAGGTCTGTGTAAATCATCACAAATAAAAACTTACCCGGTCCCTTAAGCTGAATCACAGGATTGTTGTCGGTCCAGACAAATATGATCTGAAAACGCAGAAAGTCAGGGACAATAATTTAGCTAAAACATTCAGAAAGGTCTTGTTACATATAGTGTATTCAATACAGGTCTGTGTAAATCATCACAAATAAAAACTTACCCGGTCCCTTAAGCTGAATCACAGGATTGTTGTCGGTCCAGACAAATATGATCTGAAAACGCAGAAAGTCAGGGACAATAATTTAGCTAAAACATTCAGAAAGGTCTTGTTACATATAGTGTATTCAATACAGGTCTGTGTAAATCATCACAAATAAAAACTTACCCGGTCCCTTAAGCTGAATCACAGGATTGTTGTCGGTCCAGACAAATATGATCTGAAAACGCAGAAAGTCAGGGACAATAGTTTAGCTAAAACATTCAGAAAGGTTTTGTTCCATGTAGTGTATTCAATACAGGTCTGTGTAAATCATCACAAACAATAAAATTTACTTAGTAGAGCTGACTTACGTAGTGGCTCACCATAGCTTAACGTCAGTCGTTCGGGTACAAACACGTGACCAGTTTTATTCCTCGTCATTAGATGGGATGTGTTATCAGATATCAAGCCCATTTCACCAGCACATGAATCACACTATGAAATTAGGGTATATTATACAAGCCCGAAAATACTGCATTTATAGCCAATGTCTGTATGAACGCAAGTCACGCAACGCATGACCCATGTCGATACGGACAAAACAACTCCAAGGATGTTCAACTTCCAATTTAATCGGAAAGATCTGTTGTGCCAAGTCATTGCACGTAATTGTTTTAATTGATTCTTAATATGATCAGTTTCTCTCTTTTAGTTCTGTGTGATCAGGCTTTGTTTTTAAGGAATATCATACGTTTTCAGTCTCATCCTATTACGCCACACTGATCAATACATTTGTTCCTTAACATCTATATCTTCTCTGTAGAGGAGAGATTCTCATTACAGAAAAGTATAGTTCTCGTTCCATCATCATGAAATTCTATGGAG